CAAGCCTGCAGCTGACATATCTTCGTACCGTCCGATTTCTTTGACTTCGTGCTTATGCAAACTGACTGAGCGCCTGATCCACCGCCGTTTAAATTGGCAATTGGAACGAGCGCAAGCCTTTCCTTCTCAGCTGTCAGGATTCCGAAGAAGCCGGTCAACAACAGATGCCATCGGCGACATCGTATCGTCGTTAGAGCAAGCAAAGGCAGAAGGAAAGGTCATCCACACCGTTTTTCTCGACATCCATCGAGCATTTGATGCTCTGCCACACTCTGTAATCCTAGAACGACTACAGAACACAGGAATAGAAGGGCGCGCCCTTCGCTTTATTACTTCTTTTCTTTACAACAGAACATTCGCTGTCCGACTGGCTGGCCGCCTGAGCACGATACGAAGCAGCACCCAGGGGGTACCACAGGGCAGTGTTTTGAGTCCTCTGCTTTTTAACATCGTAATGGCTGGACTACCGACTGCTCTTCCTGTGGGTGGACCTTATCCCATACACTGTGCCATATACGCGGATGACGTCGCGCTATGGTGCGCTGGGCCTACCCGACTGTCCACTACCGTCCGCGCAGTGCTACAACGAGCTCTAGATCGCACGGCCTCCTTCCTCCACCATGCCGGTCTGACACTCTCTACGTCTAAGACACAAGCTCTCACCTATCGCCCTAAAGGCAGAATGAAAGGAAAATACTCTGCACTTAAAATTGGAGGCAAGGTCATTCGACGTGAACCACAAGTTCGATACTTAGGCGTAATCATTGACGACCGCGTCACTTGGCGCCCTGCGGTAAAAGGTATCCTCAATGAGTCCCATAAGCTCCTCGGCGCTCTCCATCGAATATCTGGAAAAAACTGGGGTGCCAGACAGATGACGATGACGACACTCTACCGAGGACTAATAATAAGTCGTATGCTCTACGCCTTGCCATTCTTAAATATAAATCATACGCAATGGAAATATTTAGAAACCTTTCACAGGAAGGCCCTCCGTTTCTGCCTTGGGCTACCTAAATCCGCACAGAACATTCCAACTTTGACCGAGGCGGGAGATTCTCCACTGCAGCTCCAAGCACAGGAGAAAGCATTAAGATATGTCAGCCGTCTATCAGATGCTCCATCCTCGGACCCACTTCTTGAACGCCTCATGACACGACACCACTCTCAGGTTGGAAAAGCTGTAAAAACATTCCGCGATACTATCGGCTACCCAACAGATGTATGCCCGATACCTCCCCCTTATCGGGACGACTGTCAACTCCACGTCTCAACCGAGATAGCCGACCTCCCCCGACGCAAGCACGTTTCTGAAGTGGTAGCGCGGAGCATCGCCGTTGAGACAATAGAAAATACCTACTCCGGCATGACGCACATTTATACCGATGGAAGCATAAAAGACAGCTCGTGCACTGCAGCCTATGTCTTGCCTGAAGATGGACACCACGGTAAAGGGCGAATTGATATCTGCGTTGATTCCACCACTGCAGAGCTTGCTGCCATTTGGTTAGCAATTACCCAAACTCTACGACACACCAACCTATCCAACATCGCCATCTTCTCGGACTCTCGAGGCGCCTTACAGCAACTAACACGCCTCGAAAAAGCGTGCCCACTAGCCAGATCCATCGCAAATTTGACCAGGCGCGCTGCAGAACAGGAAACAACCATATGGTTTCAATGGATCCCATCACATGTAGGTATACCCGGAAATGAAAGAGCAGATTCGCTGGCAGCAGAGGCCCACTCAGACCAAAGTCCCACTATCTTTGTCCACCCGTACAACGCAGCAAAATCTCTTATAAAAACGGCAATAGAAAGCATGCACCCGTATATTGAAACCAATTCAACACCCATTCCAGCATTGATTCCGCGAAAAAAGTTCTCCAGGCCTCAACAATCACTCCTACACAGGTTGCGAGCCGACTGCGCTTCAACCAACAAGAGACTTCACCTCATCAAGCGCATTAAGTCTCCCAACTGCACCACATGCAACATCATCGAAGACAGAAACCATATTATTTGGGAGTGTCAGTCGCTAGGGACAGAGCGAACCACACTAACGCAAACACTGAAGGCTCTCCGTGTTTCGCCGGGGGATTCCAACGCTCTCCTCTTCCCATCAGGATCCCGGACGAGAAGAACAAATATACTGAAAGCCCTCATTGACTTTTTAGAAAAGACAAACCTGTCATCCAGACTGTGAACTAGCATACAACATGCCTTCATCCTATGGTCGCCGATGGGTCGAAGCGGCGGGTGCTTCGTTCCGTCGTCCTAATCGTGGCGGGAGCGCTCGTGCCCCGGCGCTTCGGCTTCTCGAAGTCAGCGCCCAGCAGGGGAGCGCGTGCTCCGGCTGCGTTTGGGGCGGCGGTGGGAGGCGACCTGTCCTTCCATCGCATCAGCGGCTATACCCTTCATTTCTGTAAATACGCCCATCCCCATCGTCACTTCCTACCTATCCTCTTTTTCTCCCGATCCCCGCAAGACGACGAACCAGACCCCTCCATGGGTGACTAACAATGCGTCTTGCATCCCTCTTTCTCTTTTATTTATTCTTTAAATTTATAATAAAAGCAATATTTACACATGTTCTTGTCCAATCGCATTTTTCTTTGGTTATGAACGCTTTTTAGCGTCATCACAAGACGTTCAACCCATAATACACTGGTGATTAAAAAATAAGCACCGAAAAACATGCACCGATTTTCGCTCAAAAATAAACACCGGAAAAAAACCTACCGTAACCATTACCCATGTCACCTTTTTGGGTGATATGTGAATTTCCAGAAGAACAGCGAGTTATCACCCTCCCCTAGGAATACCCTGACTACAGAGCAGGCGACCCGTTTTTCCCCGCGTTAGATTGTGGTGACCACGAACCGTACGGAGCTCACAGGACGTCCGTGAAAAATAAAAAGGAGGAAAACAACGATCTACTCTGTGCACGCTTCATCCCCAATTTCCACGACCCCAAGGCCGAAGGACGTTTGTGTGAAGGATAACAATAAAATAAAACTTTGCGTCAAAAAAAAGCCCGTTTTTAAAAAAAAAAAAAAAAGTAGAAACAAGCACAACGCGTTGACGGACCGCGAGGTTGTGGAACACCTCGCGGTCCGCTTGCCACAGGACGGTTGTCTTCGACCCATAGCTCCAAGGTGAATTTGCCACTTGCGAAAACACGGAGACCTACCCAGCGAGAACCAGGAAAGCAAGACACGCACACTGACGCCTCGGCGTGCAGAATGAAACAGGATACGGGCGCGGAATACGGCCGCGGAAGAACACCTCGCACAGTGCCGATCCGGCCGATCTCCGAACGGACGATTTCGCATTTCGTGGACAGCGAGCGCCACCGCACGGGAGAGAGAGGTACCTTAAAAACGACGAAAACAAGCACCGACACCTTGGTTCTTTTTATTTGCTGTAGTTACGGAACAAATCGACTTACATGAATAATTTGAATATTATTCGATTCCGTAATAAATTTAGAAGACATTAAGCGCAATTCTTCTTATGTTTGAATTTAGATAATTTTGTAAATTCGCTCCGAACGCAAGAGTGCCGAATTAGCCGATTTTGACCATTTTCATGATTTTTTAAAGAATATAATTAAATTTATGACGAAACATCTGTTGCGTTTAGTGTCTCGATAATGACTCAATGTCTTTAAAGCCAAAATTTTCAAGAAGATCCGCGCAGCCGTTATTATGTGAGAATTTGTTTAATTTGGTGAAAAACCTCATGTATTCTCTATGGGGCTCTGAGGTGCGCCCCCTCTTAAATGTGTTTTGATAGAACATGTGCTACCAAAAGCAGCATAAAAATGAAAAAAAAAAAAAACGCAAAAAAAAAAACAACAAAAAAACACTCAACTTCAACTGTTTGCGGCGGACACCTCACGTTCTTGAGGTCACGTACATGTGCTGTATTTTAGGCTCCGGAACACACTGGAGGCCAACAGAACATGTCTCGAATTCTGAACTCACTACTATTCTTAGAGGAAGTGTGTTTGATAAGAAGGGGGAGTTACACGGGGGCCGTCTACGCCATTTGAGTGTCCGGCTCGGCGAATATTAGATGAGGTAACAACCGTAATGGTAATTCGGTTTATTAAACAAATTGTTCATTAAATTTTAAATAATGGTTTCATGACTTATGTTGAAATTTCAGTATTGGCGCCAACTACTATCAGAGACGTGACCAATTAACAGCATTTGTGAAAAAGGTAATAGTTGGTTAGGTATTCATCGATCAGTTTTTTGTGTTTTTACTCCCGATATTAATATTGTGCGCAAAAAGATCGCCCTAAGCCCTACCCGCAATGACGGTTAGAAGAGTGACGTAGTCTTTCCATGATGTCGTCACTATCTTGGCAGCTCGCTTTTGGAGATGCTCCAACGAACTTCTGCCCCGCCGGCTTCACGACGGCTTGCGTGACGAAGCATCTGCGTTGCTTTGCTACTCTGTGTTTTTTGTTTCTGAGGCGTGAGCTTGATACCGTATTCTTACGGCCATCGTTCGGGGACAACGCCGACGACTTTTCGCGTAATGGAACAAGTAAGTCTTTCGCATTAAAATCGCTTTGTCTCCAAAATGCAATATCTGTCGGCATGATAATCATGATGTACTCTCATCATTGTACCTGCGTAAAGCAAATTTAATAGTTTCTTTCCTGAGCTTGTCGTGATGCGCATATGCCAAATGACTGCGATCTACGGAACGTAGATTGCAGTCATTTGGCATATGCATCATGCACAATGCTAAACAGAAAACAAAATATATATAAAAAAAATATTTTTCTTAAGAGTGAAGTTAATAGCTGTTTGAGGTCACTAAAGGCTGTTACACTCCAACGTTGAGCGTAGCACATGGCGCAGCGCACACATTCGCTGATTGATCGCAGACATCGAGTTCCTGCTTGTCGGCCAATGAAAGACGCACGTTCTGCGCCACTACGCTGCGTTCGCTGCCCTCATCATCGTGAATGTCTTCCGCAGGGTTACAGCACGACGTTCGCATTCCTGGCCAACCGGGAGGGTTGCCGGTGAACTTCCAGATTCTTCCCCAGTACCTCAGAAAACTAGGCTACAGGACGCACATGGTGGGAAAGGTAAGTTCCCCCAAATTAAACTAGAGTGCTTATGGCGAATTCCACTGGGCGTTTTGGAGCGCGCCGGGATCAATTGACCAGATCCGGACTGAAGCACACGATCCGAACGGGGTCGCGCCGCCTACAGATCCCCAGTGGAACATGACCACTGCTCCGGGATCGGCGGATGCCTTCCCGTCATTCAACTGCACGGGAATCCCCTTTCCGCGGCCACCGCGGTCGTTTCGAAGACGTTTTCGCAATCGCGGCGCTAACACGTGCTCGACGCACGAGCGGCAGGAATGGCTCAGGCGCTTCTAGCAAAGATTGCCGGAATGCCCGTAACGCGGCAAATACATTCTCTTCCCCTTCCTGGAAAACGAACTCGCTGTGGAGCCAAGGGGTAAGCAAGCGGCCATTACGAATTCTGATCTCGAGACAATCTAGGAGCCCAGCCCGCGACGTGCTTCTTCTGAGGCAAGATGGGCGAGATCAGGCGAGATGCCCCCCAGAAAGGAAGTCACGTGTGTGCGCCGAGGGCTGGCCCGGCTGGCTTCCGGTTGAATCCGCCGAAATCGTGGGAGCGACTTTTCTCGGATCCAGATCAAAATCTGGAGCGGGAGCTAATCCAAAACGACCAGTGAAACACGTCGGTCTCGATCCCGATCGCCCAGTGAAATAGGCTCGCTCCAGAAAAGTCGATCCCGGCGCGCTCCAAAACGACCATTGGAATTCGCCATTAGATTCGAACGTGCTTCGAACTGCTCCATATATGTCACGTGGTCCATGGGCCGTGTTCACAATACAAACTGATAGGAGGAAACCAAATTGTCGATCGCCTCCAAAGTTACTTTTTAAGGCCTAGACATTCTGCTTCGCTCATTTTAACCAAGCAGCCAGAGCCGTATATTGGGAGGGTCTGGCCAGTGGGTTTGGCGACAAAGACGCTGGAGAGGAGGAACGTGAACGAAAGGGACGAGAGTGGAAGATGAGAGCAAAGAGAAGACGGCCGCCCTTCTGACGCAACGCTGTGCACTGTTGAGGTCACGCGTCGTCTGCTACGGGCTTATAATCTATTCGCCTGAATAATTTTTTTTTTATTTGTGTCTGCGGACAGATGTTCCGCAGAGGGGGTCTAAGGCTAAAGGCACGAATGCCTGACAAGGCCTCAGCCCCGTCTTGGTATGCAGCGAGCATTAAAGTACATATACAATACATCATATACATATAACACATCAAACATATCAAGTACATATACACTGAATTCATATAAGTTCAATAGCGAAATCTAATACTGCCAAATATACAGTTTTATAGCCTAGACATACTAAAACAGGTAAGTATTAGACACATATATGCGGTATGATCCAATAGTCTAGATCACAACAGTTTTCCACAAGTTTATGCAACATATAATTTGACAAAATAATGTCGAAAAACATGAAACCACAAGGGAAAGAATTTCAAAATACAAATAAAAATTTTATACAATAACTTTGTGTAGACTGAAAAGACCGTTCAAAAGACAAAGTTACGAGAAAGGTCAGATCATTGCTAACAAAATCTGATTGCAGTTTCAAGAAAGACAAGCAGTATCTAACAAAATGTGAGAGCACGGCACTGTAAATTTGACGAAAATAATCCCTGGAGAAGGGGAACAAGAGGGACAAAGGACAAACAGAAATCACCAAACTCAGCTTGGTGACTGGTGAGCGACCGAAAAAATCCGCCTGGTCCGGGTATCGAAACCGGGACTTCTCCATTGCAGGTGGAGCGCTCTACCAACTGAGCTAACCAGGGGTTAGACGTCAGCATAATTATAACAGTAAATTTGTTTTACGATCTCTTTTAAATTGGGATATTGATACATCAAAGTTTAATTCGAATACGTGTCGATTCAAAATTGTAGCAGTCTGGAAGGCTAAAGTTTGTCGTCCGTAATTTGTTCATAGTATAGGTACTTTTCGTTTCGGTCGTCGAATATACTACACTGGTGTTAGTTCACTTTCTGACGTTAAGCAAGCTCTATATCTGTGGATTAATTGAAGCCGTTTAATGTAATATATTTGATTTGCCCTAAGCATGTGCTGTTTTAAAAACAGAGGTTCCGTACGCAGATTCCTGTAATCCCCCTTGTAGTCCTCGACCATACGTAAAATTCTTTTTTGAAGGACTATTAGTTTATTGTAGTTTGAGGCCGCTGTTGTCCCCCAGACCAAAATTGGGTAGCTTAATATTGAAAGAACCAAAGAGTGATACATATTTTTAAGCAGCCAACACGGGATAAAACTTCTGATTTTTTACAAAGTGCCTTTAATTCTGGGCAGGTCACCTTTTAACTTGGTAATATGAGTACTCCATGACAATTTCTCACTAAACCAAACACCAAAAAATTTTTGCTCACTTGCTTGCTCCAGTTCGAAGCCTTCAAATTTGACGTTTATACTATCGGCGTCCCGTTTATTTGCTGGTTTAAAAATTATGTATTTTGCTTTGTTAGAGTCTAATTTCAATCTATTTCCTTGAAGCCATTGTGACAGTTTTAAGAGATATGCGTTTGCGGCTAGTTCAATACTCTGTTTTGCTTTTTCCTCTAAAGAATACGTTAGAATCACCAGCATAGATGATTACCTCCTGCGGGCCAGATATTTTGTTCAGATCATTTATATATATTAAAAATAATAAGGGGCCGAAAATTGATCCCTGGGGAGCACCATGTTCCCCAGGTGCAAACGTAGAGAAACTTCATTCGTTGGCTTTATAAGCCAGCAAGGAATAACGCTATACTATTTTCTTGCCATAGCCGGCCAAATAAAAGGAAAGAACCGAAATTTGGATGTCGTTCTCACGCATTTCACCGGGCGAATGAATGAAAATGGCGGCCCTCCCCGCTCAGCTGGGAGAAGCCGCGAGTTCAAGCGCGTGCGCTCACGACGCTTGTTCTGCGCCGCAGGCTGATTGGCTCACTCAGGACGGGGGCATTTGGACGGTGGGATCGTAGAATGGCCAAACTCTACCGCTTAGAGCGCCATATCCTACGCTTGCGGAAGGCATACCCCCCGTCCGAGAGGACGCATGCCTAGCGCGCTGTACACGAAGTCGCGCTCTTGCGGTGCCTCGTGAGAGGGCTGCCACGACGTACCGATATACCGGATTCGCCAAGACAGCAGAGACGGCTGTCTCTGCTCTCTCGATTGGTCTACGTTACGGTAGATGGATGCAACCACCCTGTCCCAATTTCAAGGAGAAAAGCCTAGTCAGCACGCGTTCAGCCATTCCAACTAAGCAAAGCCTGTCGGCAACAAGGCCACTGGACTGTCGCGGGTTCAGATGCGTCCCCTTAGTAAAATATTACGTCTGCAATCGTCTCCGGGCTTTGCTTCACGTCTCGGCCTGCTATCTTCCTTGCCACGTGGCAACTCACACATGCTCACGAGCAACCAATCTGTACAAAATGTGCCCGCCATTAAATTACACTCTCGATGGTCTGAATATCTTCCTAGTATAGACCATTTACGCGGATCCGAGGCCTATAGTGTTGGTATCACATCCAGCGCGAAGCGTCCGATGAAACCAGAGTCCACGCCTTATGCTGACGCAACGTAAGTGTCCAATGCATGTTTAGATGGCATGCCCAAAGAAGGTTGTGAGATGCGTACAGCACCCTCCGCGGCGTTGAAAGGAACCCTGGGACTGAAGCAAAGCAGACGAGCGGGCCAAGGAAAGCCAAAGTACGGTCACCACTGGCAGCAATCTGACAGGCGCGCAGTGGACCTCTTTTAAAACTCTCAGTCCTCTAGTGTCTCCGAAATTGCATTTCAGACGAGTGCCGCGTCAGCTTTCGGTACGTACTCGCTTTCAACCTGCTCATTTCATTAACCAAGATGGCGACCATACGGGAAGCGTGGCGCTACTTGGCCAGGATCTAGTGACTCTAATTAGGGCCTTCCTTACACCATCAAGCTCTATGACAAAACTCCGGTCGTGCCCCCCCCCCCTCACACACACACACTTTTTTTTTTCTTTTTATACGCCCACATCTACTAGGTACGACATCAAGTTGTTAGAAAACTTAGGTAGCGGCCCAACATCAGCGATTTGTCAGCCGGGAACGGTATGCCAAAAACGAACGGTGATCAAGCATATGGCGTCGGGTCGGGCGCTGTGTTCAAATAAATATAATGCTAACAAACTTCAATAGGGCGCGCTGCGGCGCCACCTATTGATGGTGCCCTGCTCGACCGCCCAAGTCGCCCACCCCTAATGCCGGTACCGGGTGTGATTTTGTGCAGTGGCACCTCGGCTACTCCAAGGAAGCGTACACGCCCACGGAGCGAGGCTTCGAAAGCTTCTACGGCTACTACAACTTCGGCGAAGATTACTACAACCATACCCTGGACCTGGTAGGTGTAAATCATATATAGGGGAAATATATTCTTGTACAGCAACTGTAATATGTCGGAGATCCCGTTAGGAAAATGGCGAATCAGGCTGGTGGGCTTCATTACATCTTAAGGGGAAACAGTAAAATCAAAAACGAGGACAAAGTGGAAGTTGGCAACTAGGTCATGGCATTTTGTTGTAACCTTCGACTTTGCCCTCGGTTTTCTTTTGTGTTTTATTTTTGTGACGCACTAAAGTTTTTGTAAAAAAAAGAAAAGCCTTCTGCGCAAGCGCAGAAGCCATTTTTATTTATTTATTTATTTTTCATTTATGCGCTGTGAACACATGTGCTTGCTGATGTAAAAAAAATAGGCTGGTGTAATGTCACGAATGACAAAGGATGAGGCGGTGAGTTAACTGGAGAAAGTGAACATTTAATGGGGCGAACTTGTGCCCAAAACAAATGAGATAAAGGACAGCGACGCAGGTGTCGATGGCGGCGAAACAGCAGGATCGAACGCTGTGGCGAAACTGACTGCGGCTCGCCACGCGGAGCCCCTTACGTACACGCGAGGGATTCTAAAACAATCGACGTAGAAGGTTCGGCGTGTAGAACATTCGGACCTCGAACAAGCAATCACGGTTCACGAATTTACCAGAAATCTAAATTGAAAGAATAAATAAGAGACGCGTCGCTCCCAGGAATCGAACGCTGGGCTTCCGCACGAGGCTCAAGCGCGGTAACCACTCGGCCACGCACGCGGTCGCTCGCCGACGCGTGTGGCAATATTTGTCGAGTACGCACCTTGAAATACTTAATCCCTTTCACTCAAGGGAGCTGCTTGACGTGTTTGATCTCGTAAAAACACAAGCTCCTAGGCATATGCTGGCTTATAAAAAATAATTTGATGTATATAATCGCCTAGGTAAGTTACTTTTGTACTTGAAATACTTAATTCCTTCACTAGAGGTGCCTAAGGTGCTTGCTTTCTTGAAAGAAGACTCCTGAGCATGCATAGTTGAGGGATGCAGGGGTGAACTTGTAGTCAGGCTTGGCGGGGCGGCAGGCACTTAGCTGATGGCAGTGGGGAGAGGGGTTTGCAGATAGTTGAGGTAAAGGGCAAAACGATGCCTATATCTATTTAGTTGAACCAATATTTGCTATGATACCAAAGTACTAAAGTTTTCGCTGGTTTAAAAGGATGTTTCATTGAAACAACGAGCTTGGGGCCTGGCTTAGGGGGGGCCGTCGCCCCCCCCCCCCCCCTCTCTTAAATACGCCATGTCAGGGTGCGCAGGCGCTTGCTATAATAAATAGGTTCGTGTATATAGTTTTCTTCGTACCTTGTGTGAGATGCTTGAAATGTTTCATTCTTACACCTCAAGTATACAATTTTAAACAAATTTCGAGACAATTTTTTTTCTGAAAAGCTCTCTTCCACTTTTCAGTACATATTACTGAGTATGCCTTGTAAACAAATTACCCTCCCATCTCCAGAGTTAAAGACAAAAACGAGAATGCCGTAATACTATTTACTCATTAAATATCTAATTAAATAATTCGCCAATGACTTAATAACTTGAACTTGAGTCGACAAGAGCAGTGAGTACAGGTTAGTAAAGCCACCTCTGAGCGTGTATTTAAGACTTCTGGTTAATAAATGAACAAGTATTTTTTTTAAGATACGGAAAAACATTTTGCTTTAAAGAAATGAAGGTGCATTTATTAAACGAAGAAACCATTTGAGTTACCCAAGCTAAATGCATTTTCTTAGTACCCAGGTTCTTCTGATGCCCGCTTACCATTTAATCGGGAAGTTCAAAATTTCTAATCAGAACACGGCAAATAAATGTGATGTCAAAACCAACGTTAAAAATTTTCACGCGCTTTTAAGTTGAGTGACGTCACGTGTTGAAAAACTTGCAAGTCGAGCAGGCACCCTAAAAAGCACGTAATTTTCTAATGCATTTTTTGTTTTCCTGTGTTGATTTTAAACAGCATTCATTTGACACCCTCAAAATTCATTTCACACCCCCAGCATCTTGCAACCCGTGGAGAAAAAGCTGTACTGCCCCTCCCCCCTCCCATTTCCTCATGTGGCCCCCATATAACATCTGATGTCACGTTTTCATTGTCGCCGGTAGAGCCTCTTAGACAGAACATAAATATTCTAAACTTTCTGTAAAATATTAAAGACGTTTATAGTGTCCTGTAATGCCGAATTAGAGCGCAGCTCTTAAGGAAGAGCAGGCCAAGGTACACAGAGGAGGGTATGTCCCCCTCCCTCTCCATACCTTCTTCTCCCCTCCTCCTCATCTTCCCCTCCCCTTCCTCCTCTCTCTCCCCTGCTTAATCTCCCTCCCTCCTTCTCCTTATCTCATTCTCCTCCCCTTCTCCTCCTTTCCTCCTCCCCCTCCTCCTCCCCTTCCTCCCTCCCTCCTACCTTGTGACGTCACTCGGGACCGTAGTGACTTTCGTGACGTCACTCTTGAAGGCGTCATGAAGGTCGTGACCTTCACTATGAAGGTCGTGACCTTCACGTGACCTTTGTTGTGACCTTCACGAGTGACCTTACTGGCGTCGCTCGTGTCACTCGTAACCCTCGACCCTCGTGAAGGTCACGCGAAGGTTGTGACATTCCCGTGACCTTCACTGTGAAGGTCACGGGAATGTCGTCGTGACATTCACGACTGACCTTTTTGACGTCGCTCGTGTCACTCGTAACCCTCGACCCACGTGAAGGTCACGTGAAGGTTGTGGCCTTCCCGTGACCTTCACTGCGAAGGTAGTGACCTTCATCGTGACCTTAACGAGTGACCTTTTTGACGTCACCGGCGACCCTAGTGACCCTCGTGACGTCACTCGTGACCCTCGCGAGGTCACACGTGACGGCACATGTGACGTCACGAGCGCGTTGCATTATGGGAAAGATCCCATAACGCAACGCGCGGTAACACCGACGGTGACGGCGACGCCGACGCCGCTCATACTGGAAACGGGCGCCTAAGAGCTGCGTACTAAAAGTTATTGTGGCTTGTAGTTTGAGTTTTGAGGCCAATCGGACACTTAAAAGTTGGCTCCGGCAAAATATTGAGCATTCTGTTGTCAATAGTCTGTTACTTGTGTCTCGAGACCAAAAAACAAGTTTCCAATATTGTGGTGTACCGAATCGAAAATAAATTAAATTAAGAAAATACAATTTTCCTTCCGGATAACCAACAAAGAAGCCATAGGATTATGTTCCTGACGTTTGTGGCTTACCCATTTCCGGAGTTTCAGATTATAATTATCTTAATCTTACACTTCCTAAAAAACTCCGTCTGGAAGCTCATTATGATTTTATTTGTTAATCCGCATTTTGTGAATTTGACTTTTTTAAGCGTAAACTTATGAAATTGCGATGACATACAACACTTCTAGACTATAATATCTTTGTTCACTTAAAGTTTGAATATGTAAGCGTTGATTAGGATACGTTAACTAAAAAAAAAAAAACATTTCAAAACTGGAAATGGCTTAAAGACTGCGGTAAGGTTTGTCTACAAAAATGTTAAGGGCTAGACTCACCATCTCTCCAGGCGCAAACAAATGCAACTATTACTGTAGAGCTGCGTAGGCGAGTCTCCCGGTTGACATTTTTGTTCTTTTTGCTACAAAATTAATTTAGGCCTCATGTACATAACTTTATGCAGTTGCTGATAAGGCGATACGTACCACAATAAGAACTCATTAACGCCAATCTTTGCTCGACAAACCGTTTAAAATTTTCCTTCTTTCCCTGCACTGTCACTGACTGAAATGGTGTAACCACAAGCATTTTTGATTGATATATTTTAGTTACTGATGATGGTTTTTATTCTCGAATATTGTTATATTGCCATATAGGCAAATTTCGAAGTCGAAAATAATCAAGTATTGGCAGTGTAGTTTTACTTTGTATAGTGATTATGGAAAGCTAAATCTTTGCACCTGTATGTGTATTTGTGCGTGCGAGTAGGATTCAAACTCTTTTCCGATTAATCGTGTTTTAAAGTGCCTTTATTGTATGCAGTGTTTTTTTTTCCACTCCTGCTTGAGCCGAAAATTGGCCTGCAGTATGTTATACATAAAAAATGCAGAAATGTATTTCATGATTACCGAAATTACGGTTCCACTTAAACAAACTTAGTATTTCTTTTTTCAGTGGAAGAGAAGGTAACAGGGACACACAGCGTCCCTAATTCAGGCTAAGCTAGAGACGCTGCGTTGTTACTTTCTCGTCTACTAAAGAAAAATCCTTCTGTCCCAGTCTCGGGTGATTGCACCATGGAAATGTTTCATAATGTTGACTCCCGTTCAAGACTCGATGTCAAAAGTGCTCCTCTAGTTGAAAGCCTTAACAGATGGAGAAGTCTACAAGACGCCAGTGCACGATGGACCGCCTGCCTCCGCCAGAGAATCTCGTTCTCTCTAAAAATCAGTCTTGGGTAGTAACGCGTTACTAGTAACGCGTTACTGTAATTTCGTTACTTTTTCGGTAACTTGTAACTGTAACGAGTTACTTTTTAAGAATGTAACTTGTAACTGTAGTTCTATTACTTTTTTCTGAGGTAACGATGAAAGTAACGAAGTTACTTTTGTCGTTACTTTTCAGTTCTTTGTGAATAATATATCATTAAACGAGTATAATCTAGCTATTCCTTGCACTTTCCAAAGTGTCTGTTCCGTCATTTTGAGTGTCAGTTGGCCTTGCACAAACTTGAGAATACGTTCTTTCTCGCGAGTCACTATCCGAATATAGCCAGGTGTAGATTTGATGAAGAAAAAAAAAGAAGTATGTAGTTATCTTTACGCACTTGCTTGTACTTTGTGACTGAACACTTACATCTTAGTATATTGAAGCACTACCTCTGTTGCGGTTTTTTTTCTTTTCTGCGCACGCATTTTAATCGGGTGAATCAGCCGTGAAACAACAATACACGCGGAGGGAACTTCGTATGTTTCGTATTTTGATTAGCGCCACTACTCCGCACTGCGCAT